CCCCTGTAGAGAAAATGATTAAATAGCACTTTCACCCTTTGGAAATATTATTAGATTTTGAGTCTGGTGTTATTTGTTGAATGTTTTAGTTTCAGGGTTCATTATGCTGAATTTTGTAAAGGCATTTGCTGAACCGAGTACATTTTAAAATATGGTAAAACCTAAGAGAGAGTATTTCAGTTCTTTCTACTTATTTGAGCTTTGAAAATACTATTAAACTATGAAAAATAAGAGACTCAAATTGTTGGAAATGAAAGTGGCAAACACATGAGATACTTTGTGATCAGACTTTTTTTATAAAGAATAAAATTCTCAGGGCGCCTGGGTGGCTCAGTCAGTTGGGCGTCTGCCTTTGGCTCGGGTCATGATCCTGGGATCGAGCCCCGCGTCGGGCTCCCTGCTTCTCCCTCTGCCCCTCCCCACTGCTCGTGCTCTCTCTCTCTCTCTGTCTCTCAAAAATAAATAAAATCTTTTAAAAAAATTTCTCTATAGTTGCAGCAAGGGCTTCCTTGAAGAAGCAGATCTTAGTCATTCCTTGATTTTCTGAGTGTCAGTTGGGTCCGACTCTGCACGTGGATGGTCACAGTGGGTGAGACAGGACTTCTGCACGCCAAGCCCATAATTGTAGAGATGATGTCTGTACAGAAATAACTGCATCACATGAAGTTTTATAACACCAATAAGAGTTAAGCACTATAGGAGTTTAGATAAGGGGAGATCGCCTATTGGGTGTCAAAGGTGAACTTGAAAACTGTTCCACACTGATCATTGTCATTTCCATTTCTAATAGAGTTTGGAGAGTGACCAGAACTTAAAACACCTGCTTAACCTATGCCTTTCATTTGGTTAACTGAGAGAGTGACATGATGGTTAAGAGTAAAATATCTGCTGTGTCCTCAGTAAGCGTTACCCATCATCCTGCAAAACTCAGGCCCGTCCTTGCTCCTCCAGAAAGCCTTTGCTACAAACCAAGGTGTACGTGTTGCTCCCTCTTTATTCCTCGAGAAGCCTCAGCCTGTCGTTACCAGAGCACCCATCTGTAAGATCAATTTCTAATTGTCTCTCTCACTGGAGTCCCTTGAGGTTATGAGACATACATATTCCAAACCTAGCACTATTCCTAATGTCTAAGGCTCATAAATTTTTGTTGAATGAATGATTGAACACAGCAAAAATTACAGTCGGTATAAGAAAATGGGTACAAGGTTGATAACAGTGATGGAGAGAAATGGATGAATTCAGGGTCTGTTTTGAGATAGAAGTGACAGGGTTTCTTGATGCATTGGATGTGAAGAATGAAGGAACGGATAAAGCGTACTTGAGGAAGTTGGTGATGCCGTTAATGATACTCAGGAGCCTGGAGAAGAGTAGGCTGTCTCGCACGTGCTGTTTGAGAAGCCTGCTCCGCTGGAGTGGACATCTCAAACACGCAGTTGCATGGGAGTCTGGAGCTCAGAGAAGAGATCAAGTTAGGAAATATAAGTCCAGAAGTCCATGTATAGTTGATATTTAAGGCTACATAGCTAGGTGAAATTGCCTTGTGAGAGAATGTGAGTGAAGGACAGAGAGAGAGAGAGCCCAAAACCAGTCTTGCCACGAGCAATCCAGTGCTGTGGTCTGGGAGAGGTGGAGGGGCTAGCAAAAGTATCCAAGAAAGCAGGAAAAACTAGAGGGAACTTTCTCAAGGGATTGCCAGTTGGGTCAAATGCTGCTGAGGGATTCAGATGAAAAGTGAGAAGTGATCATTGCATTTGGCAACAACAAGGTTGGTGACCTTGACTCTGCAGGGGTGGGGTCTGGAAGCCAAGTTGGAATCCGCCCAAGACTGGGAAGTCGGGGAGAAATCTGTAGGAGCTACATTTTTGAGTAGCCGCCTCAGTGGGGTGGGCATCGTGTCTTTCAGCATCACCAGATTATTTCATCAAATTCCGAACTGAACTCCCACACTGTTCCTCTTCCCAAGTGTTCCATTATTAATAGACTCACGTTCCTCCAGCGGTGCAGACCGGAACCTCCACGGTGAATGTCCTCCTCTCCTTCCTCCGCTTATCCCCATGGGATCAGTTGCCGGGACTGTTGAGTCTTCTCCATAGCATTTTGCAAACCAGACCCCTCCTGTTCATCGCCCTTGCCACTTAAGTTGCTCTTCCCAGGCACTAATTAGCTCTTCTTCAAACTCCTCTGTAGTTTCCTGAGTACTCCCTGCTTTTATTCTCCCCCTTGTCGGTAGATCTATCCATCACAGCTAGAATGCTCTTCCTAAAGCACAGCTTTGCTCCTGCTAGTCTGCTAAAAATAAAACCTGATCCTTTTAGCCTGGCACTCAGAACCCTCTACCTTTTTAACCTTGTCTCCCACACGTTTCTCTTCATTCAGCCCATTGTTCTCAAGTGTTTGCTCTTGCCTAAATCTATAACCTGCATCATCTGACCTTCGTGCCTTCAGTCTCACTGTCACGTCTGCTTGGCAAGCCTGTCCCTCTCTTCTCTTCTGTCGCCTGTACCTCCAGATGCTTATGATCCCTAATAAATGTGAGGTCTGCCCTAAAAACCAGGAAGTTTCAAGGCTTTCAGTGCCGCTGCTTTACTGTATCAGTCCTTTCAAAGTTCCCTGACACTGATTTTTCCTTTACACCATGGTTATCCTTCCCTTCGCTACCTCAGCCAGTGTTCCTTTTTAGGCAGTGGGTACGGGAATGATTTCCTGTCTGGAAGGAAGTTTCTCGGAGATTTTACTAACAGTGTGGGTCATGATATTCCGTAAATAGAGGACACTGACACAGGGTGCTGCTAGGCTTCTCCCCATTTCCCGGGCAACACCTTCCCGTTGAGGTGACGGGGCAGCCCGAAGGTTGAGAGGTGAGCACCCACCTCCTAATGAGAGGCAGCTTTCCTCCATTGGGCAGCTACCCATCAAGGAAATAGATGATTTGTCTGGCTTTTAGTTGTTGGGATTTGGGGATTTGGGGGTGGGAGTAGGGAAAACGTCTCTGAGATTGTTACTCTTGAGTTCCAGCTTTTTAAAACAGAAGATGCCTTTTGGGAATTTTGCTCAGTGTTACACATTCTAAAAGACAGAAAGCCAGCGTGTTCTAAAGCTCCTAATCAGAAAAGAATTACTCATTAGAATATGGAACTGAGGGCTCTGTCATCCCTTCCACCTCTCAAGGGGCTTGGGGAATTGCTCCTGGGAGGGCATCAGTGGGAAGCACTTCGAAGGTGTCTTTGCAAGATGTTCTCTGACAATCCATGTTGCCTCTCAGGTATTTTCAGTTTCATCCCATTATTGGAGGATAAAGTAAGTTTTAGGCACGTTTAACTTGTACCTAATTAATCTTTCAAGAATGAAGTGGGACTGCTGGCTGAAGGGAAACAGTTGCATTATTTTTTTTTTTTTTAAGATGGGATTGAAAATAACATTCTTTGTCTCAGTTAACGAACTATGTTGCTGGAGCGCTGTTAGGAGGAATCGGTGTTTTGGAAAAAAGGAGTGAGGTGACCGTCTGATTTCAGAGCCTTTCCTTGGCTGTGACAGGAGTAATCCATGCTTGGCCTCCCGGCAGGCTCATTGCCCGTCCCCCCACCAGCTGTCGATTGCAGTCAACTATTTTGGAACATGAGGGGTATTGTAATTAGTGGTGTGGAAAACTGACTTGCGAATTCAAAACAACCCTCGATGTTTAGAAAAACCTAGAGTGCAAGTAAGAGATAAATGTCTCCTATTCTGAGTGGGATAACAAGCTTTAACTAAATAAACTCACCTCCTCAATAGTACTTCTTATCAGTACCGATAAAGAGGGAAAATCTAGTTAAAAAATTAGGAAGGAAAACCTGAAAACAACTTACTTTTTTGTCAAAAATGTTTTGTCTTATGATTGTTCATCTATTTTCTGCTGCTGTACATTTCCCCAGGAAACTTGGTGTCTCAGGATCCTTAATTGACACTGACAAAATGACAAACCAGAGCATGTCCTGGAGGCTTGGCCCTTTTGTGTCAGGATGAGCTGTGGACCCCAGTCCTTTGATATGTGCTTTCCTCTTTCACTTAAAAGGGGAGATAACTGTTCTTATTCTGGATGATTATTAACCAAAGATCTCAAAAATCTGTTATTTAATATTGAGCCAATTGTTAAGTGCTTTTATAAATTGATTCTTACATATATGAGATGATTCGTAACTGGTATTAAATGCTTTTTGTGGGGCGCCTGGGTGGCTCAGTCGTTAAGCGTCTTCCTTCCGCTCAGGTCATGATCCCAGGGTCCTGGGATCGAATCCCACATCAGACTCCCTGCTCCATGGGAAGCCTGCTTCTCCCTCACCCACTCCCCCTGCTTGTGTTCCCTCTTTCACTGTGTCTCTCTCTGTCAAATAAATAAATAAAAATCTTTAAAAATAAATAAATAAGTAAAATGTTTTTTTTTTAATAAGTGTTTTAATTGTTTAAATTCTGGTAGAATTTTTTTAAGCCATTAGTAAAGTAATAGCAGAAAAACTGAAAAATTGTATTGGTAATTTCAGTTACTTTAGACTAATTGTATTGGTTAATTTCAGTAAAGCATGTGGGAACATCCAGAAACACCACTCTGGGCTTTTAAAGTATATGCCTTTTTATTATAAGAGCAGTTTCCAGTAAGAATAGATTATTTTAAAATTTACATTTTCTTAACAGATAAAAAACCCCAGACTCTTAAATACAGAGAACAACAAACTGGTGGTCGCCAGAGGGGAGGGGAGTAGAGGAATGAGGGAAATAGGTAAAGAGGATGAAGAGGTACAGATTTCTAGTTATAAGTAAGTCAGAGAGATGCAAAGTACAGCATAGGGAATATAGTCAATAATACTGTATTAATGTTTGGTGACAGTTGGTGACGACACTTATTGTGGTGAGCACTGAGCAATGTATAGAATTGTTGAATCATTTATGTTGCACACCTGAAACTAATATAACACTATGTAATTATACTTCAAATAAATAAAATTTACAATTTTTTTTTTCTACAGGAAGGAACTCGAAACCTTCAAAGGTAATTTTGTGTTTAATTCTTCACTTTAAAGTAAATGAGAATTAATTGATGTCAGATGTTCTCTCTTGATGATGAACTCATTCCTTTTTCTTTAAATCAGTTTACATCAAAAAAAAAAAGTTTACTTAATCCTGTTTTTGTAAGTTTTATTTAATCCCAACTGGTTTTGATATCCTTTGAGCTATAACACATATACTAAGTGAAAGTTTCTGCTGATGACCGTTGCAAGTAATATGTTAGGATGGCATAGTCCTAACTTTGAGGTTGTTGTGAATCCTAGTTTGAGAAGATTCTGGTTTCTCGTGTGCACAGTCTGGGCCATGTGGAGAGGGCATGGTGATAAAGAAAGAGATGCGATCAATCCATCAGTCACCTGAACTTCCAAAAGGTGTTTGGTGCTGGGTCCTGCCCTGCCACTGTCTTGTAACTTTGGATAAGTCTCTTGCCTTATTTTATTCAGGCTTGGTTTCTCCACCTGTAAAATGAGACGCTCTGTGAACTGTATTCTGAGATACCAAAAGCACCCCACATTGCCTTTTCATTTTAGGGACCTTTTGAAGGTGGGGCACTGGAAAAATAACTCCAGGTCGTGTTGACCCTTGCTGGTCAAGGAACAGCACTAGTGCAAAATAGAGAAAACCACAAACTCTCCAGCAGCTCCGAACCCTTCCAGCACACTGTTTTTCAATTGCTGATAAGCAATTACTCAGAGAAGTCAGTGTTCTCCGACAGACTCATCCCAGTAACTAGGAAGGCTTTGAATTATTGCCTTTTATAGTACACATTAAACTAGTTTTATGCTTATTGTATTTCACATAGAAGTTAGTATTGACTAAGATTTACTGAATGAGTAAAGATTGTCCCGTTTATCATTTACAGTTGAATTGTGTATGGTCTGTTTAGGTGTTTTGGGAAAATGACTAACCTTCAAGATAAAAGGTATAAAGGCTGTTCCTGCTGTGACTCTAATTGAACAGACTTGTTTTGGCTGGAAGATCTGTTTACCTGAGTACGGTTACAGTACAATGATTGAGTTTGTGGCTAGTTTGCTGAGGGTAATGTTAAGTGATCATGTGATAGAGTGTGTTCTCATGGTTATCATTATTCCTAATCAGTTTGTGCACCAGGACTCATGTACGTTATTTTCCATCCGTGGTTGAAAATAAGATTTGAAATCCTCATAAAATGTTCTTTTCCCTCTCATTCTTTCTTTTTGTAGGCTAGCATCTTCTTATATAACATTAGGAGAAGGAAAAAAGCAATCAAGTTAATACTGAAAGGCAGGGACACACATGATGCAAAATGTCAACTTCACTTCATCTCAGTACTGGAGCCTTCCCCCCCCCCC